AAGACGGACAGGGACCCCGGCCACTTTTGATTTTCTTTCCGCACCGCCCTAGCTAGATCGGAGCATCTATATATCCGCCGCCGTCGCCGTCGATGGCCAGCCAGCTCAGGCGAACAATGCGTGGCCCTTGTGGGCGACGCGGCCGAGTGAGCGAGTGGGGAGCGAGGTGGCCGCGCCTTGTGCGCAGCGCAATGCGATGGATGTGGATGCGAGTGCGAGCCCGGAGAGGGAGCAGACGGCACCCCCACCACGCCCAGTTGCCATGCACCGTCGCTCTCCTCCTCTATACGCCCTGCCCCTTTCGCCGGTTGGGTGCGCGACCGCGATCGGCCTCGGTGCTTATCGCGACGGAGGAATCAAGATCGAGGGTGAGGTGCCGGCGAGGATCGATATTATTTGCTCGATCGCGAGGAGAACTATGCTGACGCGCCTTGCTTTGGACCGGATTCAGATATGGGTTAGGTGCTGTGTGCGTGCGTGCGTGCATACTGTAGATACCTAAAAAGTGCGTTTAGGTTGTTCGGTTGCGACATGGCATCCAATCTGCCGCGCGCAGCAACATGGGCGAATTTTTTTGTGCTATGCCTAGTTTTAGCGTGTCACTAGTATAGCTTGGATGTGTAAAAGCCAGTGTGATTTCACCAAAACACTAGCGGCGTTTCGATATAACTTTGCATAGCACGATTTGTTCACGTGTTATTTGTTATCATCGTTCTTTCTTTCTTTCAATGATCTTTTGTGAATTGTGACAATCCATGGCGACGGAAACCCTAGACGCCGCCTCATCTACTCTGCCGCCCCATCTGCTCTCCCTCTCGCTGCCGCTAGCGCGCGTCGCTGGGGAAACCCTGTGTGGCCCTGGCGGCGTCGGGGAGGTCCTGGTTGGTGGCGGCTTGCTTGTAGAGGAGTTGGAGGGCTACTGCGGGATGACGAAGTTGATATGTGCTTGAGTGGCGGCCTTCGTGGGAGTCGGTAAATGGTCCTTCAAAAAGTCTGCTCCACCGAAGTGGAGTCCCAAAGGTGGCATCGAGCTCTGCCCATGGCGCGCCGCCGGAGGATGCATGAGGAAGAAGACTTCGACACCTCCCAAGAATATGATTTTAATTTTATGTTTAATATATATGTATTTGTAAGGACCTGTAACGCTCAATATATGGTCTTGGGCCCTTTCACAAAAAAATGCTTGGATAATGTATGCATTGCACCTCTATGA